GTTTAGTTAAGGATGGTGTCAATATTGCCATATCAATTTGAGCCGGATTCAGACCCAGAGAATATTGAACAAGAGGATCGCGCAGAACCTTTGCACGCACGGATATTGCAAGACATATTAGAGTGGTAACGTTATTGTTGTTTAGTTTTTTTGGCTAAATCACGTTTTAGATAGGATGTCAACAACCGCTTAAAAATAACTGCATTTACTATGTATAGATAAGTGCATATGTATTATTTTTATTGTTATTTAATTCTAACATTATAACATGAATTGCAGTGAAACTGTTATACAGTTGAATTTTTTTTTATACCATAGTCCAGTGTTTCCCAGGCGGCATATATATGCAAACTCATTCTCTGCCAGCAGGAGGCGCTGCTGGAGTGGTAGAGATCAAGGTTTCCCCGGTAATGGCTGTAAACAAAGCAGCGCTCCGCTCAAAAAAACACTGCTTTATCAGACATTACATGCTAGATTAAATGAAAATGACATCCAATTTTCTGAAGACAGTCGGTTTCCTTCTGAAAAACAGTGATATAAAAACTCCCGCACTCAATGTATGGGAAACACTGTAGTCTCATAATTGAAGTGTAAATTCTGCAGATTACATCATTGTCCAGTATTGTACTGTCAGCAATTTATTATAAAAACGTTTTCATAATTGTAACAAATTGTATACATATTTACCTAGATAATTATTCAGGTGCATGTGTAATAACTTGCTAAAACTTGAGGCTACAGCAGCACTACTTCTTCCTCGTCGTCTTGTCTGATGCACTCAACCAAGCGTTCTAACCAGGACCTCGCCCCTCCCCACCCCCCAACCATTCAAATTATTTTAATTATATTCTAATGGGCCGCTTTGTGATATCACAAAACCGGAAAACAAACGCTGTAGTCCAAACGAGCCGTTCGTTGTAGGTATCTTGAAAAGGGATTTTTTAAAAACAAAATATCTCCCTTTGGAGTGGACTTTGAGATTTGTAAGTTTGAAGGTCTTTTTTTTTATGCCCAAACAAACACACTACACATGGACTAAAATTCAAAAAGTGAAAAAGCATAATAGGACCCCTTTAATGTATTGACGAATTAAATTAATTCGATTAAATAATCAGTATAATCAAGCAATTAATTCTATTACAAATATAATCGCATTTTTACAGCGCTAGATTTAATTTCATCTGACATCTTTATTATAATATTGCTGTACTGTACTTTGAATTGAGCACATGTTGGATTAAATTTTTCCGACTTGAAAGGTTTCTAAGCACTCAAACCCAAAAGCAGATGTTCACTGGAGGATCATGGCTAAGATCAATGTGGACTGTAAATAGACTAGCGGCAGGGGTTTCAGCATCTGCTGTCTGAGACATGCCTAGTTAGACTCGAACTGCACGGATACACCAGCGCAAACTGCTGCTGTTCATCCAAAACCCAGGAACATCTGTCATGATTTAGAGAGCAAGAATATCTGTGCTTCTGAGGCAGGGAGCCACCCACTGACGAAACCCTGGGCTGCTGAGCAGCACCTCCCACCATCACTAGGCCAAAAACTCACTTTAATTATTTTGAAAAGAATAATGAGAGAGACTGGATAGAGCGAGGGCGGCTGAGAGCACTGAATGTGTGTATCAAACCTGAGGGTCATCTTGTTCCTCCATGCTGTACTGTGCTCCACCAGGCCCTTCGTTCACTTTGTCCCCGAGCAGGAACCCCAGTCGCGTCATCAGTGTGTTGGCGGCCTCGTCTACAGACGGAGGAGGACCCAGATCCTGGCTTTCTTCCCCTGTTAGAGAATAAAAGAGAACAAGAGAGGTAAAGCCTCTTTATAAAGTATATGTTTATAAAGTATAACCCACCTGATGTTGTGTGCTACAAAGAATGTGCTCCAAACAATGCTGTTGTTGCTTAACACGCATTTGTAAAACAGCAGGAAGAGGAATATGATAAAACACAATGATAATCACACCAAAAAAAAAAAAACTTAGTCAATAAGTTTACAATAAGTTGTAAAATGATAATAAAAAGAATATATGTAAAAATAATATATTGATACAGTATATAATAAAGCTGTAAAGTTTATAATACTGATCTCTCTATATAAATAATATTAATTAATAAAATAATCATCTGCTAGAATTTCCCTACAGTTAATTATGCCCAGCAACACTGCACTCTTAAAAATAAAGGTGCTTCACGATGCCATAGAAGAACCTTTTTTGTCTAAATGGTTCCATAAAGAACCTTTAACATCTGAAGAACCTTTCTGTTTCACAGAAGGTTCTTTATGGCGAAATAAGGTTCTTCAGATTACAAAAAGGTAAGAAAGAGATGGTTCTTTAAAGAACCTTTGACTGAATGGTTCTTTGTGGAACCAAAAATGGTTCTTCTATGGCATCGATTTAAGAACCTTTTGAAGCACCTTTATTTTTAAGAGTGCGGTTCCTCAACCAAGGCTGCATTTATTAGATTAAAAATGACTAAATACAGTAATATTGGAAATATTATTACAATTTAAACTAACCATTTTCTATTAGAATACATGTTCAATGCAATTTATTCCTCTGATGGCAAAGTTGAATTTTCAGCATCATTACTCCAGTCTTCAGTGTCACATGATCCTCCAGAAATCATTCTAATATGCTGATTTTCTGCTCAAGAAACATCTCTGATTATTATAAATGTTGAATGTAAAAATAAGAGTTAAGACATTCAGAATGTTACAAAACATTATGAATGGATTTATACATCTCACTTATTTCACTTAGCTGAAATTAGAATAATTAGGTGTAATAATCACATATTCGGTATTTCCTAAACCATTCATGGACAGTCATTTTGGAAGGATTTTTACAAACTGTAAAACTGAGTGATTTTGGCATTCAGAGAAACTGCTTTCTTTGGCTTCTATGACAACATAGGGATTTTTATAATCCTTGCAATTCCACATTGTCTAATGCATAAAAGTACAACTTGGCCGTCGCTACCACATCCAGACTTTATGTGGTGTCTTTCAAATTTCAGCCTCAAACAGCTCCATTGGAATGAAATTTGGACATTTCAGCATTTCAGTTCTGCTCACTGTCAAACATCCCCATCACACACCCTTAAAAACCAAGTGACACAGCAGATAAGGACATGTAAACCAGCCACACTTGCTGTTGTGAGACCAGCCCAAGACCCCAAAAGACCTAAACTGTAAAACACTAAACCACCTCACAATCCCTATCAATAGGATGTCTGCGTGTCTAGTGTTTCACAGATGAAGCGTCTGAGCCTGTGCGCTCATATAGCATCCGTCCTTCGGATGAGACGTTAAACCGAGGTCCTGACTCTCTGTGGTCATTAAAAATCCCAGGATGTCTTTCGAAAAGAGTAGAGGTGTGACCTCGGGATCCTGGCCAAATTTGCCCATTGGCCTCTGATCATCATGGCCTCCTAACAATCCCCATATCTACTGATTGGCTTCATCACTCTGTCTCCTCTCCACCAGTAAGCTGGTGTGTGGTGGGCGTTCTGGTGCACTATGGCTGCCGTCGCATCATCCAGGTGGATGCTGCACACTGGTGGTGGATGAGGAGAGACCCTGACAATGTAAAGCGCTTTGAGTGCCTAGAAAAGCGCTATATAAATGTAATTAATTAAATTAATTAAATTATATACACAGTCAAAGGCTGATCGCGAGACTTCAAAAGAAGAGGTGTCCCACGGTGGCTAAATGCACAGTGAGAAGAGCTTTTTTCAGGATTCGTTTTTTTTCCTCCATTCCTTTCACCTCTCACCATCAGAACAGAGCCGAAGAGAACCAACTGCAAAACAAACTGAGCCTTTCCCAGAAATATGGGGCGAGTTGCTACACCTCTAAGGCACAGACTCATCTTACTGTCAAACCTGTCCTCAGAGACTGGAAATCTCTCTCAGATAAACCAAAGCCTCAGGCAGCAGCGGCTCTGCACAGCAGCTACAGTTAGATTTTATAAGTTGCCCTGAAAAGTAACTCTCTGAAAGAAAAAAAAATCTTGGTATAACACATCTAATGAGTTCTGAACAAGAAGGATCAACACAATAGATGCTATACAGCTAAATATGCTAATTCAGTCAAAGCATGTCAATGGCTGTCTATGTCTCAAAACCTTAAATTAGCTTAAAGGAGGATTTCTGGGCATCATAGGAGCATTTTAATATGCACATTTGGGCATATACACGGGCTATTTTACAAATACAAACAGATAATAAAATGCTACAGCTAATTATGCTAACTAGTTCGGTAACCATCATCTATGGCTGTGCCTTAAAACCTCAAGAGCTGACAAATCATATTGGGCAGTTTTAAACATTTCACCTACAATGCCCAAAAATACACTATTACTTAACTTATTATAAGAGTTACTATTGTTAACAAAAAAAACAAAACTAAAACAATTTTGTGAATTGAAATAAAGCTGAAATAAATTCAAATATAAATAAACAAAAAAAATGTACATTACAGTAAACTAAATTGTAAATGTTGCCTTGGCAAGAAATTGAAATAAGTTGAAGCACTAACATTACTAAGGGAAATACAACAAATACTAAAACTGAACTATGACTGAAAAAAAAAAAACCCTAAATAGCAATAATGAAAAATACAATAAAATAAGAAATACAAAAATAATAAATAAAAAGAAGATAAAAATAAAAAAGAACATAAAAGTACTAAATAATTAAATAAAAATAAATAATAATAAAAAATAAAGGCTCCAAAAGGGTGTTTTTACAGTGATGGCATAGAAGAACCATTTTTGGTTCCCCAAAGAACCTTTTAGTGAACAGTTCTTAAATGAACCATTTTGAAGAATATTTAAAAAAATCTAAAGAACTACAAATAACCTTTTCTGCATTTGAATGGTTCCATGGATGTTCAAGGTTCTTCATGGAACCATTGATGCCAATAAAGAACCTTTATTTTTAAGAGTGTATAAAATTCTAATTCAAATAGTGCATTCAAAATATTAATAAAAAAGTAAATAAATATTAATGAAAGAGTTTCATTTGCTTTATTTCAAAATTATGCTATATAATTCAATATTTAGGTGCTGTATGTATAGAGCTTACAGTCAACTAAAGTAAAGCTAATGACTCTAATGCAAATGTATTATTTGTTAGATATAAGTAGGAAAAAAAATCATACAGGTTTTGTAAAAGTGAAGCATTCAAAACAAGCGCTTGCCACATTATTCGTTTGTTTGTTTTGTTTTTTTTGCCAAGTTGTGCATTTTGCTTCTGCACATGTCGTTGTCTATGCAGCCACTATGTAAAGCTGTGCAAAGAACAATACTTTTTCCAGACAATATAACCAAGCCTACAAATGGGTTTCCTGTTTTGAATTTTGTGTCTCTGAATTGACACGTGGGAATCCGTTTGGTTGAACACATGAATATACATACTGGCAATCTCTCTTTTTTTATTTAATTTTTTTTGCAGTCGCAACACAAAAATGTTGTCATGGCAACTATGGATTTTGTAAAGATTGTGCTGAAGCATCTGTCTCCTTCATCCATCCTCCTACCGAACATTCTTCCTAAATTTTTCCTCCACCACTCCCTGGTTTCCCTGTACCTCCGGTGGGATGTATGTCACTTGTGACAGCGTATAATAAAGTTCAGAAACCCGCTAATGACACCAGCAGGAGCTGAAATAGCACAATGGAGAAAGAACTGTTCATTACAAGCAGAAAGTCGGCAAGGTTTGTTTTTCCTGCGCTCTCTTTTTTTATTATTTTGTCCCACAATGTCATCCTTTTCAGAAAATGCTGTGCCTCTTCAAAAGTTCTCTGGCCCACATATGGTAAAAAAAAGAAGGAAAAAAGAAAAAAATACAACCGTTCTGAACTGATGATTCACAAACATGCCAGCAATGGTGGTCTGAAGGTAAGCCTGAGGATGCAAGCAAAAGAAAATATTCAAAAACATCCACATATTTGTGGACCACACACGTATCTTAAGGCACAAGCATAAACAATCATATACGCATACTCATGCATGACAATCTCACAGCTAAAAGAGCACATTAATGCACTTCTGTATGAGTGATGATGAGCCATCTGATAATCAGACAGGCCACAGGGGGTGGGAGAAAAAACGGTAAAAAAGGATAAACACAAGGTGATTTATGACCAATAGTTTTGTTATGGCTGAGATCAGATAGGGATCATCTCCCAGTCTATTCAGCTTTAAAAACAAAAGTCTGACGACTGCCTTCCACACCACCAAGTTCATTCAGAACAGGTAAATAATCACAGAAATGACATGAACGCTGTTCTGTAACAAAAATACTAATATTGGAAATAGTAAGTAATATAATTAATTGTAAGAAAGAAATTATGGTTAAAAAATGAACAAATGTGTATTATGTAATATATTATTTATGTGTATGCTAATGTAAGCACCTTGCCAAATAAGAAGATAATTTTTTTAAAGTAAATGTAAAACATTAATTAGAAATAAATGTTTAATATAATTGTAATAAACCAATAAATAATAATGTAAATATTATAAATATATTATAAATAATAATATTTTAATATTTTCCAATTAATTAAATAAATAAAATTAAATAATAAAAATTAACGATGGCATTTATAATAAATATTCATATATGTGATTAATTTAATTTAATGAATTAAAAAGCACATCAGGCAATTCATTTGATGACATTATTTAATCAATCAACAGCCCTAGTAAATTATAATAAAAATATAAAAAAAAAAAAAAAAAAAAAAAACACCCGGCTGACCC